TGATGCGTTCCACCGGTGGAACGCGGAAGTAAAAATGCCGCGAACAGAGAGAGGAGAGCAAAAAAAAGGGCAAAAAAAAGGGGCGCAAAAGACTGGATATAAATACAGATCATGAACTACAAGCAACCAGAGCAACTGAGGAAGCCTCCAGACGAGGCGAAACGCGTATTGCAGCTAGAGACTACTCCAACAAGATTACCTTAAACTGTAAGGTCTTGTTTTTTATTTCTATTTGTGCACTTTACTATTAAAGCACTTTTACCACTTTATACCGATATGTGAGAGGACATTGGATTTTTTCCATCCCCTGGCAAGTTAAAAGAAGGAAGTGGTGATCCTTAATCCCACAGCGCTGGAAAATTGAGCCTTATATTACAGGCTCTAATTTTGTGAGTGTGTTACTATATATTTTATCCTCACTATATTCATTATTCAGACAATATTGCACTATCAAGTGTTATTTTGTGTTCTACTTTTAGAATTTACCTGTATTTACCTGTAACCAGAAGAAACTCCACCTTACACTGTATGTATATCCCAAGAATATTGCTGAACTGAAACAGTTCTATAAAGAGGAAAGGTCAAGAATTACTCCTGACCATTGTGCACGTCTGATCTGCAACTACAGGAAACGTTTGGTTGAAGTTATTGCTGCCAAAGGAGGTTCAACCAGTTATTAAATCCAAGGGTTCACATACTTTTTCCACCTGCACTGTGAATGTTTACATGGTGTGTTCAATAAAAACATGGCAACATTTTATTCTTTGTGTGTTATTAGTTTAAGCAGACTGTGCTTGTCTATTGTTGTGACTTAGATGATGATCAGATCACATTTTATGACCCATTTGTGCAGAAATCCATATCATTCCAAAGGGTTCACATACTTTTTCTTGCAACTGTATCTGGCTAGTTTTTCAGGAATTTCTGCACCACCAAATTCAGCACATGCGTCAGGCAAGGGATGTGCATCAAACCGGCTAGGCCCAGAGCTGCTACGAGATTTTGCCCATTATCGCACACCACCAGGCCGGGCTTGAGGCTCAGGGGCAACAACCACTCATTGGCCTGTCCACAGCGCGGTGTGAGGTTTTTCACCCAAACATATGAGTTTTAAAACAGCCTGCTGTCGTTTCCCCCTGGCTGTGCTGAAGTTGGTGGTGAAGGTGTTACGCTGACCGGATGAGGAGGTGGTAGAGGAGGAGGAGGAAGAAGCTGAGTAGGAGGAGGAGGCAACAGGAGACAAAGCTGTATACCCAAATAAAGATTGTCAAACGTTGTATCCTGGAACTGTGTCCCATCCGGTTACTGGGGAAATTGGTCTGACCTATTCTAATCAAAGGGGATAACCATCGGTTACCCAGGTCCCGCTTCAATTGGTGGCAAGTGGCGGGATCCCATGTCCCTGCCAACAGACCCATGGACTACAGTGCTCTAAAGCGACCTACACTGCAGGACTTGTGTGGAGCCAGAGGAATAACGCCTGGTGGGCGTAACAAGGTCGAATTGACTGCTGCGCTCATGGAGGACGACCATGCACGCAGTGAGGCAACGAACCCCAGCCAGGGGCCGGAGATGAGGAGGAAGTGCGCAAAAAGGTGGAACGGCACCTGGCATATTATCGAGAGCCACCCTCAGAGGAGATTGTCAGCAGGACCTTTTTGGAGATGCAAGCCTATGTCCTTGCCAATAGATAGAGGGCAACCTCCATGAACCCTGATGAAGGAAAAAGGGAGCAGAGGGAGCCGGGAAGCACAGCCACCCTGGTCCACAAGCTACCATACAATGCCTTCAAAGACTTTTTAAAGGAAGCAGAAGAATGCATCGATTACTTTTTACAAGACTTTGAGTGCCAGTGCCTACTCCAAGACGTGGACCCCAGCGACTGG